GAAACTCTCCTGGCACCAATTTCTACAAGTCATTCCATCGAAACCCTCTCCGAATATTCCGAAAAGCAAACTTTAAAAAGATTTATTGAACTGCTATAATTGGAATCCTATAAATTAAAGTTAAATGTCGTTCGGATAGAACTATTTTTGTGTCCTTTAGTAGGAGAGACTTTGTGCGTTTTAATGAATTTTGGATATCCTTCAAATTTTTTGAAAGACCTTTTATTTGAAAACCTGCTGAGAGAATGAAATAAGATAATAAAAGTCATTTATCTGATTGTTCCTGAGTAATATTTTTAGAAATTGTTCGAAAAATAAAACAGCGAAGAAACGACAAATTCAACGAAAATCTTTATGGATTTGTTGTTAGTAGTCACAAGTTTTTAGAAGTTGTTTGGCGACTTTCAGTTGAACTTTCCAAAAATGAAGAGAGGAATATGTATATAATTGTAGGGATAAAAACGAGTTGAGAAATATATTTTCTCATTACTTATACGATATTTAAGTTTAACAGCTACGAATTTCTTCAACAGCTTTTATAAATTTAAAAAGAAAAAACATTCTGAAACCTTATTGTAGTTACATAATTTGATCAAAAATACTTTATTAGTTAATTCATCAATTTATGACGAGTGAAGTTAAGACAATTTAGTAACGTCATTATCGGCTTGTGGCTCTTACACATCGTCAAGGCCGTCACATGAGGCAGTAGTGCAACTATAACTTGCTCTAAACCAAGACTGTTTATATGGAATATTTTTGTTAACTGTCACGTATTTTCAAATCTGCAGTTCCGTAACCTTTTCCAACATTTTTGGGAGCGCTGGAAGAATTGAAATTGACCTCAAATGACTAAAATCAGAAAGGTTTTTAATTTTTGGCAATGGAATGACATTAGCAAGCTTCCAATCTTTGGGGAAATATGATTTTTGAATGAAGCAGTTAATCATGTGAGTAATGTAAGTAATTATAAACGGACAACAGAGTGTAATTAGAGTTAGGTTTAAGTTATCTGCTCTAAAAGCCTATGATTTGATGTTCAAGACAAGTTTTGCGATAGTTTCCTCTGAAACCATAAAAAAATTAAAAACTTTATGATTTAAGAAAGAATTATTGTTGAAAAAATTTAGTAGCTCTCTATTGGGTGCGATCTGATTTCGTGGTATTTGTGAGAAGTATAAGTCAATTTGGTTGGTTGATCCTTTAAATTATCAGGAATAGATTTTTGTTTTTTATTCAAAATACTTACTTTTCGTACTTCTTTTGGGGTGAAGTTTTGAAATCTGTGAGTTTCTGATATACCCATCATACCATAGTTATTGAAGCTGATATGGTATTTAAATATATCAAAATTATTCATTAGCGACCTTACATTTAAATGGGAACAACACAGCATAACTTCAAGGAAAAGGTTAAGTAATTAGAAAAAAAAGGTACCTAGGTATATGGGAATAAAAAAGGAAAATATGGGGAAAAGGGTATAAAGTAAAATTGTAGATACAGTACGAAAGCAGTAGCAATCACTGGAGACGCAGCCGCAGTGATCAATTTTGATTCTCGAAGTTAAACGAAGTGAAAATAAGAGGAAAAAATCAAATGTTCTAAAAAAAAATATTTAAAAAAAAAGCTCTTCACAGCACTCCCAGTACTGAGAGATAGGTACAAATCAACAAATCAAAAACCTCTTCTCTTGATGACATATTATCAAAATAAAATATACCTATAAAAAAAATCCCTTCCAAGAATCCAAACGTACACAAAGCCCATTCCCATATTGTAAATAGATCACCAGTCATATATATAATTATTAGGTTTATGGTTATATTGAAAACAAAAACGATAATAATTATTTCTTGACCTAGGGGCCGGCTTTTTCACCTTCTGATAAACTGTCAGGTATGCAATCTGACGGATAAAAACGAAATCTGTAATCCAATTGGTCGACCAGTTATTCGCCGACCAATAGAATTATAGAACGGTCAAATTTATATTGCAGATGAATAGACCGGGCCTAAATAAGATAAACTAACCGAAAATAAATTCTGGTATAGAATGCCCAAAACAGTGTCCAATCCATAATATAGAAAACCCGCAAATAATACAAAAATCCCTAAGTAGTTTATATATACAAAGTTTTCAAGCATACATACTTAGTTGTTCTTCAAACCCAGTAAATCATCTGTTCGCTCAACTCGATGAACAACACACCCACTTTAACATAGGGCGCTTTCTTTTATTCAGCAAAGGATCCATCGGTGACCAGTCTATCTTTATCTAGTTCATAAAAAATCGGAATCGCTGTCTCATAATGCTGGCAGCAGATGGATTCATTGCTGAATAAAAGAATTCGCCCATAGATTATGTCATTTAGGCACCACGCACTTTCACTACTAACTAAATTTGTCCACCGCGGCCGTTACCAAGGTTGAAGGATCCTTGGTTAGGTCCTCTATCAGCTGAAATCCTGAGAACCGAATGGTTCGATCTACATCTCGCGTCGCGCGAGAATCGCACCACTGCCGATGATGGTTCGTTGGATTTATTTCTGGAGGCAACTCGATGACACTTGCTAATGTGTAAATCTTTGATTTCTACCTTGATTTGTTTGAATATATCCTGCATTCTCGAGCGCAAATACTCGTTTTTGTTGACGGGTACGCCGAAAACTCTGAAATTCAGATTTCTAGAGGATCCTGGGTTATAAAGAGACATCTGCATTTCGCTTTTAAGATTTTTAAGATCGCGAATTTCTTGTTGTAACTTAGATATTCGTTGTTATTGCTCCTCAAGTTTTGCATCGTTTGGTTTTCCGATAATATTGGTAACTTTGTCTGCAATTGTTTGCAGGAACCTATCGGTAAAGATGCCTTTTATTTTTTCGGGGTCATTCTCTGATAGAACCATTTTCAAGGAACCTGTGCCTGGCGTGTTCATTATTGTCATCTTTTTCGTCGAGTTGCTCCGAAATTTTGACAGGCACGCGACTGGATCAGACAGTTTCAATATTCAAATTACGTGCGTATCAAAATTTCGGAGCAAATCGACGAAAAGGATGACAAAAACGAAGACGGATAATATCGTTATTATAGGTGACAGAACTAACTTAAAAATAGTGTATGCTCAAGACACTTCTTAAAAAATCACAGTTAATAGGTTACTTCAAGAAAAATGTTCACTCGGAGCACTAAGCATACAGCATGATGCACCAAAGGAATTACTAAATTGAAAAAAAAGCCTTTAATTTTCACTAGGAAAAACACTTTTATTTTTGCTGCTGCCACGAAGTGTGATAATTCAACCAGCCAGAGCCATCTACTACTTCCCTCGCCAATTTTCCTATTCGATTTCCCTCACTGATTTTCTTGACTCTAATTTATTTACCTTTGCTGGCAGACAATGACACATTTGGGCATGTTTTGTTATTTTTTTATGAGTGTAATCAGTTTTTGACTGTGCAAATATATCTGCAAACAGATGCTTTGTGCGTTCTTCAGACTATATTATTATATTTTTAGGTTAAATTAAATTTCTGAACCTAAAACTAATAATCCATACTAATATCATTATTATTTCCCCACCTGTATGTTTCAAATGTCCAAATATGTGGTATACTTTTAAGTCACAGTAAAGTGACTCGGTTTTTAAATGACAAGTTTACATCAAACAAGTTATTTTATATAGACTTTTGTAATAATCTAGGAAAAAAATTATCTAGAACTAGATGAAAATATATTTAAAACTGAAGCAGACACTAAAAACAGTTGTAGTAATTTGTCAAATAGAATTCACTCGTTTACAGTACAGACCGAATTTGAAATAGAAAAAATATTTTGCGTTCTTTGCCTTCTCTTTGCTACCTTTTTCAGGCTGTAGAAAGAGGCATTATTTTTAAATATTCATGCTTTTGCCGCTATCTCAATTGTCCAATCAGCAACAATCAACAAAAATTGTTACATGCGGTGCTGCCAGCTTTTTAAGCCTAACATTCGCCAGTCAAATGTCATCCGTTGTAATGATAGAATTTATCGATTTTTCTAACTTTATTTTTTAATTGTTATCGATAATAATGAAAAGCAAGTGACAAAAATAATGAATTTTTTAGGTTATGTGTTATAAAGCAGAAATAAAACAGCTTTCGGCCGATAACACTGGCAGCACCACCAGTCAATGTTGCCAAGTTACTTAACTTAATTCAAGATATATTTTTAAAAATCATAAAATGTATGTACTTCAGAAATCAGAAAGTTTGGAGAGTCTCCCCAGCGTGGCTGTAGCAATGACTATTTGTTGAATGTTTTTAATAGACATTCACTGAAGAAAAGGCGAATAAAAATATTTTCATGCATTATGTATAGGGTTTTGACCAATATTATTGACTGCCCAGGTGTTTTGGAACAACTACCTTTTGCTGTTAACCGAATAAATTCGAGGAGTGAAAATGTTTTTTACTTGGCCTACCCTAGTTCCAACCTATATACCTAAGTGTTCTCCGATCTGATGATTTGTGTGATCTATTTAACCTTTATGCTTTGGATGTAGATTTAGATACTATTAGACTTAGGGCCGATTCTTTTGCTTTCGATTAACGAATTTGATACGCTGTCAAAGTTTTGCATGGGCCAAGGTCTATAAGTATGATGCGGTTAGAGCACATTCAAACCCTGATTATTTTTAACGGCTGTCAAATGAGAGCAAAACTTTGTTAAAATTGTTAGTAGGTTTTAAATGTATGTTATCTGTATTTTTGGATTATCCCTACTTAATAGGGATACTGACTTCAGTATCTGAAATTGGCTCTGCTGTTGATACTTTGAATAAATAAATAAATATAGTTACATAATAAATATTATTAGGTAAAAATTAAATTGCCGGCGTTAGCTGTAGCTATATTCAAGTTCCGAGTAATCTGCCTCTGTAGCGCATGCAAAGATAATTTTTTTAAATTTTGTGTTCACATCCAGGTTTTAATTATAAATTACTGAGACGCTCTGGAAACCTACCTGAAGATGATAGAGACAAGTGGTATTGGCAGGTAGGGAGTGTATAGGGCTCTCCAAAATGCCTCTGTTGGTTCCTCGTAACCAAAATTCACAGTTTCGTTTTTGCTTCACAAAAGATGGTATCTGTTGATCGACGAATTTCACCTGGAACAAACTCGATTATTAGATTTATTTTTCAATGCACAAAAAATTCAACCCAATTTCCAAATTATTCAAAATAAATCGAGGCAAATTGAGAACAACAAATAAATGCCTCAAGTGGAACAGGATAATATTTGAAAAAAATTATATTATATTTTGTTGGGTATCGCATCTGGAATTTTCTGCTATTAGTTGGAATTAGTTGGAAACAAGTGTTTAGTGTTTATTCATATGAATTTATTTACTATGAAACAGGCATGCTTCGATAAAGTTTGAAATCATTTTCCGACTTGCTAATAATTTTATGAAAAGGTAAATACCTATTTCAATATTCCGATGGGAAAGTGTGAAATTAGGCAAATCCCTGGACATTGTTCCAAAAATATTAATTTCATGAATAGTTTGCCAAATTTATTAAAAACATTTCATGAATGGAAACTTCTTTTTGTAGGAGACAGCCCAAAAAGGCCACATTTGACCTACCAAATGATTTTCCTAAAAGGTTAAAATTTTATTACCGCCCAAAAGGGCCACCAATTATTTTTCACCTGCTGCTGATAAAGATAAACTCGGGTTTACCTGAAAATATCTATAATAATTTACGTAAATTATCTTTTAGGTAGTTGATCTATAGAAGAAGAATTTTTTTTGTGATAGTGAGTGTTTGTATGTACCTACAGGAATGGAACATTCGAGAACTGCACCCGATTTTTGTCATGTGATGTTTACTATTTACGGTTTGCAAGATAGTCCTTACGTACCTTTGGTACTTTGTCTACTTTCCTTCAAATTAACAAAACTCCGATCGATTGACGATGAAGTGAAAAAAAAAGGAAACAGTTTTACATAAAATAAATTCTACCCAGACCCTCATTCATTATTATAGTTTTTTCCAACTCGTTTGAAATAATTCAAATGAATTAAACAGGTAGGTACCGGCTTGCTGCTGAGCTGATCATATTGAATTTCAAGCAGGCCACACTTGAACTGAGCGGTAGGATATAATTGTTGAATACCACTTTTCATTGAGTATTTCCTGAACGGAATGCTTGTTAATATGTTTGGCGCTTGCTGCTTGGTCAACCACATGGAATTTAGGATCAGTTTAACCCCCTAAACGGAATGGTATTTATATTGAGTGATATTTTTCATTTCTTTAAGCTATATGATAATACTTACAATTTTAGTTTCAGGATTAAACTGGGTTGGAAATTGGACGATGTTCAAGATGCAAAACTCTTTTTCGGTTGCATCTATTTTTTTATCCAATCGAATAAATAATATGTGCATTGTGAGGCAGTTTCTCAAAACGCAACGGCATTTTTAAGTAACCTGCTCAAATTAAATGATTTTTTATTTAGAGTTTTGAAATAACTTATCTTCTATGTAAATATTTTTAGAGTCTGTGAAATTAATAGAGAAAATTGGATTCTGAATTAACTGTGTTATGAACACTAATAGAAAATCTATAACCGTTGCATTTTTAACAAAGCAGTCCATTCATGTACAATCTAGAATACACGCGATAAGTATTCTTCTAGAAAACACCGCAAGAATCCCGCTATATTGGATTCTTGACATCCTGGCGGCGGCCTTATCGTAACAATATTGAGAATTTTTGAAGTGTTGCTTAGCAGCAGGAAAGTTTGAGCATGTTATAAAAATAATTTAAAAAAATAATTCCACCAATTTTCGCATTTTTGAAATATGCAGGTCACCTTCATCTAAATCAAATATTTTTATTAATGATTTTAACAACTATTTATTATAGGAAACTGGGAAAACTATAATATTGATGAAAACCAACCTGAAATTAACAATTGTATCAATCACTTCTCAGCCATGGTTTCACAGGAATAATTAAAGAGGTAACTCGTCGTAAATCAAATCAAATAGGACATTTTTGGATTTGTTCAAAAAAATGTATCTAAAGGGCCCCATACACTACGATGAAACACGACGGTTTTCTACCACACACTTCGGTTTTGGAACGACGTGTTTCATCGTGGCGACGAAAACCGTCGTGTTTCATCAGCTGCTTACGGAAACACTGATCTAGGATCAGTTCGATCAGTATCAGCTGTTCAAGGATTAGTAAACTATCTAGGTGGAGATAGTTTAGTTTCCGAACAATTCATTGTTCCGAACGGATGGATCTGCAGATGCCTAACCTCAACAAACATTATTTCGATTCTCCGATTTTAAATTTAATCTCCAGTTCCCAAATTTCCATTTTTTTGATTTCTTGCTGTTGAAGACGTCTGCCACATTTATTTTAAAGGCATAACATTCAAAAAACAACCTAAAAACTGGGTTAAGAGGAACAGTTGACGGCTGCCAATCCTATTTACCCCGCATTTTATCGGGTCGATGATATCCAACCATATGATACTGAACCGAACAACCCGATCACTTTCCGTACAAGAGTGAATTGATCCTAGATCTCTTTCCGTACGTTGAGATTGGTGATCCTTGTGATCGGGTTAACTCGATCATAGTTTTCGTAAACAGCTATCGTAGTCTGTGGGGCCCTGTAGAAACCCGTCGTGTTTTTCTATCACACACTTCGGTTTTAGAACGACGTGTTTCATCGTGGCGATGAAAACCGTCGTGTTTTATCGTAGTGTATGGGGCCCTTTATAATAAATTAAATTTTAATACATTTTCAATAGATCCTGATCTCACAGATCAGTTACCAATTCTATTAAACATAGCTTTTACAAATAATAAAATTCGAAATAATTTCTAAACATCTTTTATGGATTTTGGAAAAATTGATTCTCAAAAATTTGATGAATTTCCAAAAAAATAAATAAATTGGGAAAACATTTTACTAGGAAAAATCCGGAAAAAGCAATTCAAATCTTGATTATCATTTATAAATGAGATAACAGATAAATACAAATTCAAATTTAAAAGGAAGGACCCTAAAAAATCAAAACTGGGGGTGAAACTATAATAAACGAAGAAGAAATGAGTAATTTCTGTATGATAATATATTTCATAAATATTGAAATTAACATGTTAGATAACATACGAAAGAACAATTGAACATACAGTACAATTCACTATCTTAAATGTATTTAAAGCCTGTTGAAAATGATAAAAATTCAAGAACATGTAGGTATACACTCTATAAAAAATAAATCTGCTTATAACCATATTTCAACAAAAACAATAAAACACGAATGTATTAGTGAAACTCTAATAACAGCTATGTGCAACGGTGTTAAGAGTGAGTTGTTTTGCTCCATAGAACGTGGACCAAATCTAAGCTTAAAAGCTATTGGCAACAGCGCAAAAATAATCTAGTATGCGAAGCCCAAGGTAGAAATGAAGAAGAAATTTACAGTTAACCTAAAGAAAACAAAACTCAGAAATGAGGTTAGAATGAAACTAAGCGGAGAAGATCTGGGGCTCAATTTAACTAGACTTGAGGTGGATCTTAAACAGCGATGCCAAGCAAAATCGTAGTTTAAGTTCCACTTAAGACTAAGGCTGACCTTAAGTTGCAGCGCTGCAAATAGCAGTAAAACATATTATATACATTACCTATCTACTTCAGTTCCGACCCAATTTATAACATCTATTGTTACTCCTATTTCTATGGTTCTGTTTACCTACACGTGCAATGTATAAAAATAGATGGCAAGGCGTATTATTCTAGTAGAGAATTATTGCCTTTATTCCTTTTCCGCTTTGGTTTTGGTTTGGCGCCTGACGGCTGGAGTAGTATTTTTTATTGTATCTTCTGCGAAGAAAATACGAAAAGGTAATCAATTAGTTAATTAATTTAAGCATGTTATAATGCCCCACTCTATATTTTTTCTCTTTTCAGTTAACATAGGATTCTCACAACGATTTTAAGAATTCGCTATTTATCAGTTTCAAGAGATTTACAAATTTTCTCCTTCTACTGCCTTCAGAACCAAATTCTGTTTATGAAATTCTTGTAAGAATGTGGATTGTTCATCTCCGTATACCTAATATAATGTCATATTTAGTGTGTGTTGCAATGTCCGATCAGGAAGGTATATAATGTAAGCGTTGATATCAAATGCATTTGTCGTATAAGTTTGGTATAAGTCTGGTCAAATAATTTTCAGATTCTGATTTCAGAGCAAACCTTACCGGAGGCGCTGTTCGAACTGACGTATGTATGATGACGTCAATTGTGTATTTCCGAGCACAAATACAAGACCACAACGAGAAAGCCAATGGTGGCACGAGGATTTAGGAGGATTTAATATCGATATTGCAGCTCTAAGTGGAACGAGAAGAGCAGGCGAAAGTCAACTCAAGAAGCGCGGAGGAGGCTATATGTTTTTTTGGAAAGGGAAGGAAGAGAATGAACCTCGCATCCACGGAGTGGGTTTTTGATTAAAAATAAATTTAGGGATCATCTTGCTGAGCTTCGCTCCAGAATATATGAAAGACGACACTGTCGCTAAGCCTCAGCAACAACCAACAAGATACAAGCGAATGCAACCATGAAACCCAACATCGCTTGAAGGGATTCGGGCGACTTCTAGAGAGAGTCTTCAAAAATCACTACATCAGCGCTGAGACTAAACTTCGCGTCTACAAATCAGTTGTAATACCAACACTTGCATATGGCTGCGAAAAATGGACCACCTACAGAAGACATATATAAACAGCCTAGAAAAATACAACCAGCGATGCCTAGGAAGGATCCTACGGATTAAATGGCAAGACCGACGAACGAACCTTGCGGTTTTAGAGGAGGCCAAAACAACTAGCATGGAAGCTCTCATTATTAAGTAAGCACCAACGTCGCTGGACCGGTCACCTCGTCCGCATGCCCGAAACACGTCTTCCATTACAGATTCTCTACAGTCAACTGAAGGAGAGAAAACGAAATCAAGGAGGTCAACAAAAACGCTACAAAGATGTTTTAAAGAAAAATATGGCAAAGTACCACATCGATACCAGCAACTGGGACACGAGGGCAAATGATAGGCCCTCATGGCGTCGAAAAGTCTACGGGACCGAAAAGAGGGACCGCAGGAAGGAGCGAATGCACAGAGGAATAGACAATGCTGCCAGAGACTGGGTGTACCATCAAGAATGTGGAAGAGTGTGCGGGTCCAGAATTGGTTTATATAGCCATCAGAAAACGCATAATCGACTAAGAATAGAATAAAAGATATTCATACTCGGTTTCGAGGGATTGCCTATGATGATGATTAAAGATGATGATGATGATGACTATTTCAACTCGACATCTAGCTCCTAGAGGAGTTCTCTATATGCAAGCGTGGGTAAATGAATAAGAATCTAAAAGACCTGATTAAGCAACTGGTGCCAAAGACATTGAACCAAATCCAGTACAGTCCAATTCCAATATTCAATTACGGTATGATAATTTGCCAATACTAAATAGGAAGAAAATTAACATAGAAGTTGTACAACTTCCTATATATCAAAACCTCCAAAATACCTGAAAGATATAATCGAAAAGCAATAAATTCGAAAAGAAATCGCGCGTATTAAATGTCCTCCTATATCTATTATTCATACCATTTTAATTATGTTTCATTGGAAGGGTGTAGACTTGAGGCCTAAAATCTTCTGTCAGTGGAACTAATACACCTCTTGAATTTTGAATTATGAGATTTTTTTTTAATATCTATTCACATATCAAAGTAAATTTAAAATGGGCTACCTACTTGCTTTCTCAAAAAATAACCGGATACCTTTCAATTTGTAAATAACATAAAACTCGTTTTGGTTCTGACGAAAAGTCTAGTCTTGATAATGACATTCATTTATCAATTGAAAGTGATTATGATTTAAATTTATCTATTGAATAATGCTTCAGCACACGGTGCTTTCTTCTGACGGATTCCGTCTTTTGTTTCCTTCCAAAATGTGGAATGGATTTTCATCAATTAATATGCAGGTAGTTTCAAAAACTTAATCTTCTAAAACTTATTATTAAATCACAATAAATAACGTGCATTTTTCAATACAATTAATGGCACTTTTTGATACAATTAACGTCTAAAGCTTTTAAAAATTTTCGTCGCTCTTGCCAAGTACATCAGCCAAAATTTACGGCTCGGTTATCAGCTAGATAATCTACACTCATGACCAGATTGGCATAATTCCAAAAACTTTTCCAGGATTGAGATATACATTTTTGATCAGTTGAGTTATTTTTCCAGCATTATCACTCAAATCGAAATGTTTGGAAATCCACTTTCTGGATTTCAATTCCATTAACTTAGCCACTTTATTTGTAGGTATAGGCATTTATACAAAATTAGATTTTCCCCACGGTTTCACCCGCCGTTAAATTTGAAAGAAATCGGACTGTCTATAAATAATTTAGAGTGCTTCATCATAGACAATAATTTCAAACGACAATATATCTAAAAACAACGTAGATAAACTCAAACAAATTCGTTGTTTTCGTCCGGCAGCCGCCCCTGGATATTAGTAGGTAACATGAATCAACATTTTAAAACAAAATTTATTAAGATGTCATTTGGCGTTTGCATCTTTCGCTTTTCCTATTAGGTTAACCAAAACATAATATGTTCTCCATCAAAAGTTCATATTTTAAACTACGACCGCTGACGCAAACAACTGACCGAAAATTTGATGACGTCGCAACAGTGCTAGTACCTACAGTGACTCTATTAAACCACAGGGGCGACAGTTGCCATCTTTTTGATTGGTTCTTTAAAATCCTATAGTATATTCATATGGAAAACGCCCCCAATATGTGGCCTACCTTTTGCTCATTTTAAATATGATTATACCTATAGGATTTAAATGGACATCCATCATAAAAAATTGAAAACAACGTATATGATGACTATTATTAGATACCTACATCAAATACGTTGTTTTCAATTTTTACATGATGGATGTCCATTTAAATCCGATATATTTATATTCAAGCAAGAGGTAGGCCACAAAATGGCGGCGGCACCTCTATTGTCGCCACTGTTTGTGAAGGTTTATTTAGTCATTGTACTAGTACCTACACCATAAAGTTAATTCGAAAAATCTAGGCCGATAGATACTCATTGCCACCGAAGTTGATGTATTTTGACCTGGTAAAGTTCAACAGCAGAAAGGAAGATCAATTCACGCCTATTGCATGGTTTTTGGTTACATAAGACGGATGCAAATAGTTACCCATTTTCCATGTAAAGAAAACTTAAAACAGGGGTAGACCATACGAACCAATCTGTATAGACTTGTGAAAAATAAAAACCGCGGCTGAAAAATAAACGCTTTTATTAATTTTTCGAGCTCTCTAAAATGCTCAAAGTAAAAATCGTTACAATCGCATAAAAGGCTTCATCGTTCTTTTTGCTTTGGTTGGCTAATCGGGCTAATTAAACATCTTTGCGCTTTTAAGTGGAGTTTGAACCTCTTGCAAACACAGCCATTATTTAACTTTTTAGCGGGGAAATCTTTGAATGTTCCGTTAAAAAAAAAAAACATTTCAAGTAGAAAATGAAATTATGTGGGATTGGGACACCTTTAATTAAGGGTTTTGTGCTTGTTTGACTTACCTCGACCTCTAACTGAAATCCATGCAAACTGTGTACAGGTGCTGGTTGCAGAAAGGTACCATAAGGAGATGTTGAAAATTCTACCAGGAGCTCGTGACCACTTGATATAGCTTCTGGAACTGCTTCACCTCCTCCACAAAACTTCAAAATAACAGCATCGCGAGTAGTATACCTAGAAAAATAAGACCAGAAAAACGTTATTCCATCAATTAGAATATATGATAGAATCACCAGATTTCACAAATTTTTGAAATTGTCATAATTGGATAAAGCAACTAAAAATAAATTTTACTGCACCCTTAATTTTGAAAAACTTGCAGTCCTTTTCGAGAAAATAAATAGAAAAGAAAACTCTCTAAATAGAAACACGGACTTAATCCTTACTACGTCATAACTTGCATTTTGAAAAAATTTGTACTTAATAGATTTAATTCCAAAATGTTAGCAAAATACAATACAATATATGCTTATACGTTATTGTTCGGCGCGTTTTAATGATTTTTAAGTTTTCCAGTGTTGGAGTGCCAGTCAAAAACTCGTTTGAGCTGGTAGATCATATAATAATATAGCAAATATGTATAAAATATTAAATAATATTAAATTACGTATTCAAATTTTAGTGCAAGAACCTATTCTAGTGAAACTTACCCATCATATACATTCACGTAATCTTGCACGTCGTCACAGGCATTCCAGACTTTAAGTTCTCTAGGGGTGGCAGTTCCATAAAGAGTGGACTGGCTTCTAATAGAAATCAGCTGCCCTTTGGGTTGCCGAACAATAATAATGGCATGTTTACCTGAAAAAAAAAATCAGTTGGTCAACAACTGCAACCCAGAAGTCCCCTGCCGTCTTGCACAATCTTATTAAAAAAATGCTATCGGATAATAAGTTCCCGAAATATCCTAAACACTCTAATGTAGTTGTAAAATTTATTATCCTAAGTCTATGTCTATGCAACCAAGGTATTCATACTTGAAATCCCAGTCAGCTTAGCCATACCTGCAATATGCGCGTGGCTCGTTTATCTTCTACCGTTAAGCGCCTCTAAATTCCTGAAATGCTATTTCGGTGCCCACAAGAGAAGTGCAACGAATTAGGAATTTCGTCGAACGAGAATATGTTTCTGCTTTCGGAATATATATGAATAATTTTTGAATATATACCTATCCATCTGTTCAAGAAGGTTTGTTAAGTGTCTTACAACATTGTTACAACATTGGGGTATAGGTTTGGTCTCACAAATTTTGAGCTATCATGAAATAATATATTGATGGGCCCTCTGCCTGTCTCACCAAACAACTACTGCGCTTGAACAGACGCGAGATACGGCTAGTGACTGGTCTCCTAACCGGACACTGGCACCTAAGATGCCATCTCCACAACATGGGCATTACGGACGACCCGGAATGCCGCTGGTGCATGTAGGAGGAGGAAACGGCTGACCACGTCATTGGTGAGTGCCCAGCACTCACGCGCGCGAGGTTCAAACACCTGGGCAAGTTGTATTGCTTGCCTGATGACGTCAAAAAGATGAAGCCAGGGTGCCTGATTGGCTTTTCTAACATAAGGACATAGGCCTCTGGTAGAACTCAGTGGGACACGACGGGTCCACCACAGGAGACCTATGTGCACTACGGTCGCGGCCGCCCACTCTTTCATCCATTCATTCATTCTTGTCACTACATCGGAGGTTTGGCTTACGGATACTAGTGAATACTTCTTTCGTGAGTATTCATCAAAAGATTTTCTCATCACTAACACATCCTCACTCCTCGTAGTAGTAGGACGTAGCGGGGGCGTTATAGAGTCCAAAATTACTTTGAATTGGTTGAGACTACTTCTTGTGGAGAACGCTGTCATTTATTCGTTTTTTTCGGTAGTGCTCACCTGCCAGTATCCGCTTTTTGAATCCAAAGGAGAAAACCAATTTGAGCCCGCCATGAGCGTATCATCAATTCTGTATGATGTCTAACTGTCTTTCTTAGTGAAATCGTTGAGTTTTCTGTAATCGACGCAAAATCTGGTAAATCTATCTTCCTTTGTTACTAGTACCGGCGATGAACTCGGACTTGGAGGAGACTATTCAACAACTCCCTCTGCAAGCTTACTTTCCACTTATGACTCGACTTCTTGTTGTTTGGTCATGGGGCTAGTTGGTTGAAGAATCGCATGAGCACTGCCCGTATTGATATTATGCTCAATGATGCTCGTCTTAGCAGTTTCGTCATTTTTACCCTCATAAATTAAAAATATTCTTGTTCCCACAAGCGAATAGTTGAGCCTTCTCCACTTTCGTAGAGCAAACATTTTGCCAAAAACTGCCATAGAATATCGCTGGATGGTTTTATTACCTTTCTTTTCTTGATGTTCTTCAGCTTTACACTTTGAGTTTGAAATCCTTTTGAGAGGCTCACAGCTGGCTCCTGTTGATTTGAACAATGTTATGGCTTAGGTTTGCTATTCGGACTGGTACCTAGTTCGCAATAAAAAAAACAAATAAAAAACAAACATTATACCACAATAAATCTGACAAGGTTACAGTGGTATATAGAGGACGCTTCTGCGCCATTTTCATTCGAAAAAATCTACAATCTAAAATCCAGTATACCTATACCAACTTCGAAATGCGAAAGCAAATTAGGAACCAATTTACGTGGGTATGTTGGCTGCATGTAATCAATTTTAACTACGAAAATTTTGGTGTCTCGGTGAATAAAATCATACCTTTTCAAAGCAATAATGGCAATATCTTCCTCGTTCGTTATTTTTTGAATAACCTAGGGAGTAGCTGTGCCTACTCTGAATTTTTTAAATTCCAAAACAACATTTTGTTAAGCATTCCATTGCGCAACTCTGTCTTGATTTCACCAATGCCTTATCTCGAATATAATATACTGACGCCCAGCTATATGCATAGTATCAGACGAAGCATTAACCATGTTTATTAACTAGAATAACTTAATTCTTACCTGGTGGTATCTCGTGCTGCCTAACCGCATAATAACACGTCAAATTTCTTGGGTAAATACCCGGAAAATTGGGCGATTGTAGACGGCAGTGCTTTTTATCACAGTCGCTGAATATTCTAGAACAGTAAGTTCCGGCAATGAGTTCGCCTAAATAGTATTCCGGTTCCGGTGTTGTCGTGGGTAGCGATACATTGAAAAATAAAATTGGTGGACCTAAAAATAAAAAAAGGAGAAAATATGGAAATAATCTTTTAATCATAGTTGATAAATGCATGAGATTGGACACTGAGGCAGGAAAATGCCGTCTTTCCTTAGCATATACCTATTATAAATTCCCATAGATCATTAGGAATTATGAATCGCCTCCGATGCAGAAATAGGTTTTATGAATTAAAATTTGCTTGGCGGACTGTTTTCTGTGGAATAGTGGAAACACTTGAAGACGGATAAATATCTTTTTGACAGCAATGAGCAATCAAATAAATATTCCCTTCCCGTATTTTCAATTTATCGGTAAATGCTAGACATAACTATGACTAAAATGATTCCCGTTATTCGCTTGGAGTAGATTGAGAACATCATATGTCTAATGAAAATATAATATGTTTCCAAGGTATTCCCTGACGGTTTACGACCGTATTTCATGTAGGTGTCCTTACTGTTGCCACATACGTTGCAGGACTTTTTCAGATATTGGTGCAATGCTATGAGTATTTAGCAGCATTTAACCGTCTTGTTGATTATTCATTCATTTACCTCTCTAAGTACTGAATTCAACGGTAATAAGGGCCCATTATTTTCCAATTCTCTTTCAGGAATTTTAGCGGACGCACGATCCGCAAAAATGTTGTTTGAATTGATAATTATTCTTAGTTATTCCGAATGGTTCAATAATGTGTTCGAATATTGTTAATCCGGGTGTGCATTGGTTGCCAAATAAATACTAAATCTAAACTAAGATGAATAAGCAGTCACACACGGCATAATTGACTGAAATCATTTGCAAAGGACCTCGCACACTTCTTATGGGATGAACCGCGCAAAAAAAGATCCGGCACACTTATGGGATATCTGACCGCGGTCAAATTTAACCAAATTTTAGTATGTTATAGATCTCACCTCTCTGATCAATTACTACCATGGGGCACAACTTAATCCTATGACTAGTTTTTGTGATACAGGTAGTTTAATGTCCAAAAAATGTACGCATTTTATATGCATTTCGCCACCTGTCACCTAGTAATATACCAGGATGGACAGCTATCCTCACGCTCAGGTGACAGGTAGATGTAAATGCATATAAAATATGTACATTTCTTGGACATTAGGCTACCTGTATCTCAAAAACTATAGGATTAAGTTGGGCCCATGGTAGTAACTGATCAGAAAGGTGAGATATGTAACATACTAAAATTTGGTTAAATTTGACCGTGGTCAGATATCCCATAAGTGTGCCGGATCTTTTTTTGAAATTTCTATTAAATATATCTACGTGGACCTGCTTGCGTATATTATTGCGTATTAATTACTTATATTCTATTTATTGGTGATGTACTGACTATATCTATATCAAATACCTCTTATATTGATTTTGGGGACGCTTATGTATATGTACCTACTTAATTCTGAACCGACTCGGAACCAAAAAAACCAAAACAAGCTGCAAATCACAAAATTCTAAAACAGTTCCTCCTTCAGAACAAGAGCTGAGAGAACCGTTCTAAAATAATCCCAGAATTGTTCTTGTGCGATTCTAAATAAACCAAAACACTGTCAACACAGTGCGGTTACGATTCTGAAAAAACGAAAACGCGTTCTATAACATTGCGCATATGCAGAATGATTCCGAACTAGTTCTGAGTGAAACCAAAACAAAGCTTTTATGTTTTATGCAATGAAAAAGGTAGAGAAGATAACTATATAAATAACGGCCTGTTCTATCCAGCAAACTATTGAACCCAAAGTTATCCAGAAGGCTTCTATATGAGACCATATACATAATTCCAATTGCCTTCATTTGGGTTAACAATAATCGAGATTCCTTTAATAAACATCGATTAATAGATTTCCAAAATAAACTTCTCTACAATATTAACTTACCTATTGTATTGTCACGGATTCCGGGTTCACTAAAACTCACTTCGCAAACAGTAACAATTTTTTTTTTAACTAATTGACTTTATACAAAATTCACTTATCACTTATCGAAACATACACGACAAATATCGAATTGAAACTGACGGTTATTAGACTAACATCAACAAAGCTCTTGACTAGACTGGCTTAAACTTATTACTACGGTCTATTTATATAGTCGAAATTGTACTCCGGATCTAGCTATAAAAACATCGACACGAAAATATGTAATAGAATTCCCAGAAAAAGCGCGCTTGACGTAAACAACTGCCTAATTTCTTGGAATCCCGACCACTGCCTCCCTCCTAAATCAGATCGTCTCGATCTCACCATTTATTCTCGTGCTAAGCCTCCAACCTGGCAAGATGTACCACCTTCATCTTACCTTTGGGGCCGCGTTGGATTCGGTACCCTACGTCGTTTAGTCTCTTTATCATCGTGTACGGTCCTTCCCATACTGGGGTTAGCTTGGGAGTTCTACCTTTCCTACTTTGAGGGTAGCCACACTTTGTCATTCGCCTGGAAACCTGTAGAGTTCGCCTCAAGATCATATCTCGTTTTCATTCGATTACTTGCGAACTCTGCCCTCTCTCTAACAATATCATGGATGTTAAGCAGCCTTTCTCGCAGATCGTCAGCATAGTCTTCGGCTACCATGTATTTCCTTCCTCTATCCCATTAGAAATAGAGGTATATGCTCATCCCAATCATCTTGATGCTTATCAACTAATTTGAAGACATGTTCCTCGATTGTCTTGTTGAATCTCTCAACCATGCCATCTGATTGTGGATGTGTGGCGACACTGTTGATGTTCAACGGATTTTTGTACAATTCAAAATTTTGTTTAGTGTAATGTCAGTTAGTTCTTATTTTGTTACACATTACACAACATGTTATCTTTATTATCTTTGTGATACTTTTTTAATTGTAATACTTATACATTCATTTTATTTTCGTCAGTTTTCTTCTTACTACGTTTTTTGGGTGGGAGTATTGTGGCGACACTGTTGATGTTCAACGAATTTTTGTACAATTCAAAAAATATTGAACAGCCCCGCCGGTGAGGTTAGGTCGACTAGAAACTTCGACAGGGTCGACCACGATTGACACATTCATTTTCCAGAATTTACTACACCACGCTTTTGTACCTCCAATAAAAAAATTGTAATAATTAAGTTTGAATTTTTCTTTAAATCGCTATCGTCCCCAGCTCGTTATTACTACGGATGCAATGCCGTAGTTCTGTGAATGTTTTATTTATATTTCGCAAAGTTTTTGAAATAGTCGTGACTCGAATTTGTGCCCTTGATCCGAATAAAGTTACAATAGGATTTCAAACCTACTGAAAACATTATTGACGGGGATTCTTGCAACTGTAGATGCTTCTTGATTTGGAATAGCGAAAACTTCTGGAATAATTCATGGCAACGAAGATGTATTTATTCCTACTTCGCAGCAGGAAATGAACCGGCTACGTCTATTGCCATTCGTTCGAAAGGCATCCCCACGTTGTAGGTACTGGTTCATTGGTCCCCATCGTGTTTTGGGTTCTTGACTTGCTGCGTGCCGCACATTTTCGGCACCATGTCACAGATCACCTACATACAGATGCGAAAGAGAGGTAAATCCGTGGTTCAAGTATACGGATAGATTAAGTTGCGTGTATTGCTCATTTCAGTAAAAAAAATTGCCCAAAACATCATCAAAAAACGACAAAAATAGTTTAATTTGTTTTTGTCGGTAATTTCAGATTCTTTGGAAAATTAAACACATATATCAAATGTTTTTGTAATGCTGTATTTATTAAATACCTACCCGCAAACATATGTAAACACAACAGACTGGAACACGCCAATTGTCAAACTCCTAGTTATGTTAATTAGATCAATTGTTTATTTGAACTTAAAATGCAAACGCATAATGGGAAATCCCTTCGTATGCAGGTGTTGTTTATCCAGAAACTGCTTAGTAAACGCTATTTTTATTTAAAACAATTCCGCAACGCCAGTAGTTAGCTTTTGTTTTCGAGTATTACTTGTAGCAACTTGCTCAGTATAAGTATATTACTTTAGATTTTGAATAAAATCTAAGTGTGTAACTTCTCCATCCATTTTGCTACCTGTCCTCCTGGTTGTTTCATGTTCAGAAGCAATTTCAGCGATGCGTCGGTTCTATAATGAGAAATTCTTTTCCATACAGGTGCCTACTTGTGGAAATGGTCAACCTTGCCTATTGCTAAGAGTTCCTTTCTTGTAACGCAGTAATTTCTCCCGGGCTTGGTTAGCATTCTATTGTAGTATTCAATGACCCTTTCTTCTCCATCTTGTCTTTCTTCCTGTTTTCGGTCTTCGTCTCCTCGATTTTCTATTTGTCTTCGGGCTTCTTTTTCCAGTCTTTTGTCGTCCAAATAACTTTCTACATTTGCTGTCGTGTCTTTACCATAGAGATTCTGGATCTTTCTTGAAAATTCATTTTTAATCCAAAGTTCTGTGGCGAGTCAAATTTCCAACTTTGTAGAACACGATGGAATGTTGGTTTCCAAATAGAATTCTATAGAAGTTTCTAGAATCTTTAAGAAAATCCGCTTGTGAGCTGGTTTTTCTATGTCAAATCCGATAATGAAGTCACTATTTCAGGTCAATGAAAGTTCACTGATTGTTCCCGCATTAATTATAGCTCCAATTAATATACCAATTATCTTGCTAATAATCCAACTACTAAGCTCAAACTATTCCAGTAGTTAGTTATCTTGCCAATTATTTCACTATCCAGCTCAAATTAATGCACCATTAATTCTCTTGCTAAATGATCCTACTTATTAGCTCAAATTAATGCACCAATTGTCTCACTTATAATCGCATTTCTGACACCAAATTATCACGGATTCTGGGTTCACTAAAACCCACCTCACAAACAGTAATAAACTGCATTAAACTAATCCACTTTATATAAAATTCACTTATCCCTTATCGAAACGTACACAACAAATCTCGTATTAAAAACTTAACTAAAACTCATCACAACGCGCTATTTATAGTCGAAATTGCACTCCGGATCTCTGTAGAAAAACATCGAA